TTTTTATTTATTTAGCAATCGATAAGAGATAAGAGATAAGAGATAAGAGATAAACTCAAGTTGCCTTTTGAATTAATTAAAAATTTTAGTCTTATTATGATAGTCTTATTAACTGATGTGCTTTAGTCTTATTAAAAAATTTTCCGATTATGTAAACATACTTGGTGTAATGGAAATCGCAAAGTCGCAATTTATATATTTATTAATAAAAGGTCCTCTTGTATTTCTGTAACCATCGAATTATAGATGGCGAATTGATCTTATGCCATTCCAGTTCGTATTTAGCAACTTCTAAAGAAGATTTTAAAGACTTCTGAATAGAAGTCAGATTCGACTTATGCTTGTTTATGAATGTTTCAAATTTGTTTATTAATTTAGATGTAGAAAAACGTTGCGACACACCATTGAGAATTGTGGCTATTACATCCTGTTTTCCAAAGCTGAAAGAAAAAATAATAATGTTAAATCGAAGTAGAAATTATCTTCATACACACACACACACACACACACACACACACACACACACAATAATTATATATATATATATGTGTGTTGTTGTGTGTGTGTGTGTGTGTGTGTGTGTGTGTGTGTGTGTAGTGATTTAATAAATATATATATATATATATCAATCAAAAGATTTTAAAATGCTTAAGATTTTAAAATACTTCCAAATATAAAAGATGATCATATTTATATTCAAATATATATGATAAAAAATTATATATGAAACATTGTAGCCAGTTAAAATAGTTACTCACCATTGGATAATACTATAGAAGCAGCCCGTAATCTAGAAGTTTTGGTCTCACGAATAGGAGCAGTTTTACAGAATGCAAAATTTTTAGAGCTCTCCTTTGACTCTGCCTTAGATTTAACATTCTTATCTGTTGTAGGAGTACGTTGCTTCTTTTCTGCTATAATGAAAATATAAAATATATATATTTTGTCTCTTCAAAGATAAAATCAAGCATATAAGAATTATATATTTCGAACATTTTATATCGTGTTGAAGAAATTTATAAATTCTGTAATATTATCTTATTTTTTATTTATCAAAATAATGCTTGAAAATATATAAATAGTGATACAAGATCATAAATATAACACGTTCATATTTTGTATTCAATAATAAAACATTCGATGCTATCTAAATTTTTGCTACTTACTAGTGTTTAAAGAACAAGTAGCCACATCTCCTTTAACAGATGATTCAACATTTCTTTGACCACAACGCTGTATCTCGCTATAACGTGAACAAGTACTTTGGTTTATGGAGCGACTTGTACCATTTCCTGTCTCATTTGATGAATTCTCCTCACTAGCTGCCATCAAAACTGTGGCTCCGGCAGCTACCATTACTAAAAATATTATATATTTTAATTTATCTATAATGCTGATGTAATATTTTGGTTATATCTCTTTAACCAATCAAGATCTAGCTTATACAATCCTTCAGAAAGAGAGTAGAATTCTTGCACGATTTATTAGTTTTAAAATAGACACGGTACATTGGAGTTGAACATATGTAATTTTGAAAAGAGCAATAAAGATATCATATTACTCATCATACTACGCTAACTAGATATTAGTCTCGATGCTCAAATAAGCATAAAAGTTCCAATTTGGCATACTTACTTGACTGTGAATTAATATGAATTTTCCTGCAACGCGGCCATAATTTCACTTTCGAAAGTTTTCGAAAGAAACTGTCGGACAATCGAGAACGTAACAAACGATGCGTGTTCCTTATGACTAAGATATCACAGCTACTTAATAAGTACTATGTATAAAATGATACAAATCGCGAGGTAATCAATCTGTACAATAAACTCGCGCAAAATGTTTACATCATTTACATCGAGAATTGACGATTAAATAAAAGAAAATATATCTCATCTCCACAAAACGGATGTCATTCTGATGAGCTGATCGTGTCAATGGGCGCGTTCAGCGTTCAGCGCAGAAAATCAGAGAAAACTCCGTCGAGTCATCGACTTGTGATCGTCAACCCTGATTTGTTGGATCTAGAAGAAAGTACGAATCGTATACGTTCTTTGTTGAATCATATGCGAATTATGATTGTTTCCCATTCATCCGAAATAACTCGAAATTGACTTAAGTTTAATATCCATAGAAAAACAATTTTTAAAAATAATCGTCGAGAAATCATTGCTAAGCTAGGTGGTCCTTGTTACTAAGATTTAGCAAATTATTTCCGATGTATTTTTGAAAACTTTAAACAATGTGAAGTAAAAATTAATTGTCAAAGCATATTTAATGTCAAAGCATATTTAATGCGGAGTCTACATGCGGTCATGTCATTACAACATTACAATCGACCAATCAAAGAAGAGAATATATAGTTTTTTCTCCTCTGATTGGTCGATCATAGTGTCGTAACGATATTGTATCCTGTATCACGATATGAATTATAATGAATAGAGAAATATGTAGCAAATTCTTATAAAATCAACAATTTTAATATTACTTTTTCGATACCTCGAGATTTGGAATGCCATAATAAAGATTATTGTGCATGAAAAAAATCTTAGCCGTAATTGTAAAATCTAAGTAAATTGATCAATCACAGTCGATTATTTTCGGACTGTGAGGAGAATAGGAACAAACTCTGATCTTGGTCAATTTGCTTACGACTTTACAATTATGACTAAAATTTTTTCATGCGCAATGGTCTTAACATTCGAGTGTATCAAATATTATTTTATTCTTGTTTAAGGGTCTACGCACAATGGAGCAAATATTATATACAGGAATATTAAAAATGAATATTAAATTTTGGAAATAAAAAATTTGGACTAAAAATTAAATGTAACGCATAATGAATATATAAATATGTATTAAATATAGTCATATCTTATACTTACTTAAGCGCAGGTTCTAACTTCAATGAACAAAAATAGCTGCAATCAGTGGAGAGAAAAGAGAGAGAGAGAGAGAGAGAGAAAGAGAGAGAGAGAAAACATAATGGTGGTACAATAGTTCATCAATAATAATTATCGTAATTGGTTTAAATTCAGGAATCTAAAGTAAAGACCTATAATCACTGACTGCTTACTGATCGCTTTGTTCTGTTGAACGCACGCAATAAAATGATACATTCGGTATCTGAATCTATCCTTCAATGTATAATATATGAGAAAGAAAAGAGAGAGAGAAAGAGAGAGAGAGAGAGAGAGAAAGCGAATAAGGCAAAAGTTCATTCGGTTTATCGATATCGTTACATAAAATGTTATGTATATTTTTATTTCCTTATTTCATTTGCAGAATGTTAAAAGTTATTAAGATAAATGAAAACAATGCAATATAGATTATTGAAATTACTAAAATATGAATTTGGATGAACTGCGCGTTTTGCGTAAATTAAAAGATTGAAATATACTAAAATGTTTTCCAGACTAACAATTGAAATAATTACGCTAGAATAATTAGAAGGAACGAAAAATGTCTTATCTCGAATCGCGCGCCGTTAACATCGATACCGATCGATACCGATTGATGGCGATATCGATGACGCGCTCGGCGCGGCGCCGGCAGCGCGACAGTTTAACTTGGTTTGACTTAATCCGTATCCATAGCGACTGCGAAGTATGGCCGTGTGGTCGCTCGATTGATAGTTTGCTGCAAATGTGACAGTTACGCAAGAAGATAATTAAATACGTAACAGTCGAATCAGTCCAGTAAGAAGTCTCTCTCTCTCTGTTTTTGCTTTTTGGTCTGTGAGTATAATTTTATTATAATTAATAATAACAACGAGATTGAAACAAAATCAATTCATCCATCTTCCAATATAACTTCGGTGACTACGATTATGTCGTCGGTTGTTAGGACTGGTTATTTAGTAACTGATGGCACGTCTTATGTCAGGCAAAGAAAACTGGATATAAATTTTTTTTAAGCTATTTTGTAACTACGATTGCGTGGTGTAAACTTTTACCGCTTTTTACCGCAAGAACGAGTGTCTTCAATTTTTGAAAAAATTTATAATCGTAGACAAAATTGAAAATTATTATTTTAAGAATATAAAGCTTATCGGAATTATACAGACGATAGAGACTCGTGGCCTATATGGTAGGGCAAAATCCTAAGCCTTGGGCCTATTTTTTGATTTTAATTGAATAAATTCATAAAAGTCATTTCCAAATGTTCGTTCATAATCATGCTGTTTACTTATGATCTGAAAACGGAGTAATCCATCGTATGTCTAATCTCTCATTAATACTTTAATAATAATCGAAAACTTGTAAGAAATTTTTATATTTAAAAAATATCACCTCAGTCAAAGATCGAATCTGGATCCCCCCCATTCCCCCCCCATCCCCCTTAGTCCTGATCATATATGCTATGAGTCTCT